ATATCTCAAAATCGCCAAAAATCGAGATACGCCTTTTCGTCATAAAGCCGACGATATGGGTTATTGGAATATTTTTCAAAAAAAACATGTACGCCACTGACTTGCCGTTTAATTCCAATTAAAAGTTATCTCTTGATATTTTGTCGAATTCGTTCTCCTTGATGAAATAAACGCAATTTTATTAATAACAATTACAATAATTCGAAAAAATATTAAGATTTTAACACCCTGTAGCTACGAAACAAAGCAGAATCGGACATACATATATCGATATAAAAAATAAGTCTTATTTTTACGTGAGGAATCTCCACGAGAGATAGCACATGTCTTTTAAAACACCCTGTATATTTCCAAAGAAAAAAGTCTAGACAAAAACAAAAAAAAACATAACGAATTTATATTATCATTCTTCGTTTAAATAGATTGGATAAAACGCTGCCATCTTATCAAGAGACTCATCAATCACAGCTTAATATTTCTTTCATTCCGTAACAGATAAAGAACTTCTTTTCAGCATTAATATAAATGGTTTCAGCACTAGTCCTGTTCAATAGAGGAAATATTATTTATTAGTCTTGTCTAGCTTAGAGACGTAAGGCATAACTCGTCTATAAAGATATTGTAACAATAGTCTCTATAATAATTTATCTCCTACATAAAGAAATTTAATAGAATGAGACGTACAGGACTACATAAATTATTATACCATACTAATTGAAAAAAAAACGGCGACAAAGACGGCTGGTTACCGACGATATATGATAATTTTGGCGACGTCAAGCCGACATCATTTACGTTGTAATTTATTTTTATTTGAATAAATAATACAGGGTGGTTCGAACTGTATTCTGGAAGTTTTGGCAGCATATTCTGCAGAGAAAAATAAGTAAAAAAGTTGGTATAAATGTATGTCCTAAAATTTTTAGTTTCGGAGATACTGAGTGTAGAAGTTTTATTTTTATTTCGATTTTTTTGTCAATAATTTCTGAAGTAACGTCAATATTTGGGATGAAATTGGTGCATGGGAGTTTTTTGACATGAGAAATTTGATTTTGATGTCAATATGACTCTTACTTGTAGAGGGCTTGTTCACCACATACTACACGGAGTATTGTAGCTAAACGATGAGATTTTTACAAATTGTAAGTTTTAGGTTCGATGAAGGACTATTAGAGGTACAATTTAAAAGTAATTTTACAAGATACAGAGTGTCCCAAATAAGTAAAAAATATCAAAGTTGTATTTTTTTAAATGGAACACCCTGTATATTATTACATTTTTAGTTTCTACGATTAAAATAAAGGTAAATTTGATTAAGGTTTATTATACTTAAACCTTACCGTTTCTGAAATATTTTCAATTTTGTGAAATTGCAGTAAAAATTTTAAGGCTTCATTTCTCCAAGGGTATCAAAGTTTTTAATACTAAATATTTACTAAAGTTTATTTACTGATCAGTTATTGTGTTGCAATAATAAAAATAATACTACCTTATACAGAGCCTTTAAAAATTTATTTTAAATTGTTTTTAAAGCAACAAATGTATAAAATGAACAGACTAGTAATATTATCGTTTAGCTAAAAACGGCAATAACTTTTAATTTAAATGGAACACCCTGTATATTTTACGAGCCCATCAGATGCAAAATTTAATTGTCTATCAAATTATATTATACCATTTTTTACCTATTCTTTTTAAGTTTCCGTAGAAAATGCATTTTCTTGTAATTTAGAACTTATTTATCAATATACCCATGGACTATTGACATTTCAGATTATTTTTAAAGATGTACCAAATTTTTAAAGAGTACAGATACTAATATTGTCGATATAATTCGTTTATTTCATTAAAAAATAAAAAAAACTGTTTAAATATTTGTTAAAGAGGATCAATTAATATGATTCCAGCTGTGATTCCAGTATTCAAACTACATTAACTGACTGTTTGCGTTGATTAATAATAATTGCTCCAAATACTAAAAAACTGGATTTTGTATGGGCATTAGACAGTGTGATAAAAAGTAACACCTTAAAAATGATATTTCATTTTTTAATAAATGCTTATTTATAACAACAGAGACTTTAATTTGATAAGTTATTATTATATTGATTTCTGACTCAAATCCACATTTATTTATAATAATTTATTAACGAACACAATTAAGTATGTAATTAATTAGTATATGGGCGGAAATAATGGTGTTATATTTAATTAATGGTATACTCTTTTATAAAGATTTAAATAGTTTTCTTTTTGCATACAAATGGGCTAGTAATATTATCGTTTTGCTAAAAACGATAATATTACTAGTCTGTTCATTTTGTACATTTGTTGCTTTAAAAACAATCTAAAATGTCAATATTCCATGGATATATTGATAAATGAGGTCTAAATGATAAGAAAATGCATTTTCTACGAAAACTTGAAGGGATAGGTAAAAAATGGTATAATACAATTTGATAGACAATTTAATTGTGCATCTGATTCTCCTAAAATATACAGGGTATTCCATTTAAATTAAAGAAGTTATTGCCGTTTGAAGCTAATAATTACTTAAAATAAATTTTTAGACACTCTGTATAAGGTAGTATTATTTTTATTATTGCAACACAATAACTGATCAATAAATAAACTTCATTAAATATTTAGCATTAAAAACATTGATACTCTTGGAGAAATGAAGCTTTAAAATTTTTACTGCAATTTCACAAAATTGAAAATATTTCAAAAACGGTAAGGTTTAAGTATAATAAACCTTAATCAAATTTACCTTTATTTTAATCGTAGAAACTAAAAATGTAATAATATACAGGGTGTTCCATTTAAAAAAATACAACTTTGATATTTTTTATTTATTTGGGACACTCTGTATCTTGTAAAAATATTTTTAAATTGTAGCTCTAATAGTCCTTCAACGAACCCCAAACTTACAATTTGTAAAAATCTCATCGTTTAGCTACAATACTCCGTGTCGTATGTGGTGAACAACCCTGTATACATGTTTTTAACGCCAACTAAATTTTTCTTCGAAAAAATATGATAAAACAGTTTCTTTTGAACTTTTGGGACAAAAACATTTCAAATTTATGATGTCAGTCTAATAAATATTTAGTCAACATGCTTAATTTATGTCAATGATGACAGATATTGATAATTTAGATTCAAAATATCTCGAGAACCATTACTCGTAGCGATCTACAAGTAGGAGTCAAGTAGTATTATTTATCAAGTAGATTCAAGTAGGAGTAGATTCAAGTAGGAGTATTGAAATCAAAATCACATTTTTTATGTCAAAAAACTCCCAGACACCAATTTTCATCCGAATATTGACGATACTTCAGAAATGATTTGGAAAAAATCGAAATAAAAATAAAACTTATACACCCTATATCTCCAGAACTAAGCACTTTAGGACATACATTTATTCAAACTTTCTAACTTATTTTTATCTGCGGAATATGCTGCAGAAGTTTCCGGAATACAGTTCGGACCACCCTGTATAATAAGCTAAATTATAAGGTATATTTTAAGCTAAAACACCCAGTAGATAAAAATATAAACCCAATTCTGGATCTATAACCTTCAAATTCAGATATTTTATAATAATATCCATTAAAATATTAAAAATATCTAATCATTATGCTAAAATGTTGAAGCCAAGTGACAAAAACTTCCATAACCTTAGCAAAATTGATCAAAAATCTGTGATAACGCCTTTTAATGGCACCAGTAAATCAAAAAAATAACTAAAATTTATATTATATAGCCGTACCACGATGGAAACACTAAAAAATGATCAAATAAACCGAAATTTTGAAATAAATTCATGTAACATACATATCCCTCGTATAAAATCAAAGAAAATCTTTAGTAAAGCATATAAATAGAACTAAACATAATAAAATAGCACATCTATAGCTTTAAATTGTGAAATTACACAAAATATTCTTAAATTATTATAAAATCTAAACATCCTACCTTATTTAACCATGATGAAGAGAAAATATCACCTACAAAGTACCATTTTCACTATTTATTCACACAATTTCACGATTTGTTCACTAATTTACGCGTTTAAATTGAAAAATACACGACACACAACGTAAAATAATTTAAAACAAGTTAAATCAACACAGTTCAAGCCGTTTTTCCGTCTAGTAACGCCAAATAATAACAAACATTCAGTTTTTTTGTCGGCCGTTGCTAAGAGACTCTGGCAACCAAAGCCAACTATGTTGGATGATAGGAAAAACGGAGCGACTTTTGAATATTTCGTAGGGATGGTTTTTTCAGAGAATAATTAAAAGTTTCTTAGGATCTAATAGAGATAGAAATATGAAATTTTCAGTATAGGGATAATTCGAGGTGAGCTTTCTTTCTGGAATATGTTCCGCTTCCTGGCACTTCCGGTTTGACCGGAAATGGCCGTCAATTTCCTTATTTTAAATGGAACTGTCTATATTTTTTGCATTTTTTGGATTTAGCATCAAATTCTAAACATGTTTTGTGTATAATGTTCTATACCTAAGTTTAATGGATTTTGAGATTTTTGTAATTTTATGTCAAAAAATACATAGGCTGAGTAGAAGTAGAGAATTATAGTTTTTTCTGAATTGATAAATTTTTATAAATAATTTATGTTGTCTGTCTTTTAGAAAAGGTTTTATTTTACTTAAATTTTTATAGTAGTTGACTAAATATTATACAGGGTGGTACATAAAATTATGACAAAAATTTATATTACGAAAACCTACTTAAACTTGACTAATTCATTATGGAATCCTCAATTTTTGTTTTAGATATGTTACTAAGTGTCAATAATAAATATTCCTATAGTTCAAATAAAATAAACTTTTAGTCAGGTCATTAAGTAGTATAGTACGTATAAGTAGGTACCTATCATAATACTGAAAAATTGATACTGTTTTAAAACAAACTAATCCTTTAAAATATTATTTATTTCCAAATTTTATTTATGTGTTTTTTTTTGTTTCTTTAAGGTGGATTTCAGTGTACCCTACATGGAAACTGGCATCGCCATTGTGGTGGCTAAAAGAACTGGAATTATATCTCCCACTGCCTTTCTGGAACCATTCGACGCCGCATCCTGGATGTTAGTGGGTGTTGTGGCTATCCATGCTTCAACCTTCACAATTTTCTTATTTGAATGGCTGTCGCCCAGCGGGTTCAATATGAAAGTCACCTTTAACAATGTAAGTAGCTTTATATTCCAAGAATATACTTTTTTTCCTCATGTGTCGCAAGCACTGCGCTCTGTAAGATCGATTGTATTTCTTCCCCATTTTTTTTTAAATTTTGTGTGTATTTTGTTCATGAGGCGCAATACCGTGGACTATAAGCCGATAAATGGTATATTGCTAGTTAGCTACTTTTTTTAATGAACATTGCTTTCCATAAAATCACTTTTCTGATTTCTTTCGAAAATCGACAACTATGAAACTATAATTTCTTCCCGGACACAAACGGTAGATTGTGAGACAGGAAATTGTAGAGAGAAACAAGTCCTATAACATAGGATACAAGATTTTAATGAACAGTGCTTTCCATAAAATCAATAAAATAAAAAATATACGAAATAATATACATATACTGATTTCTTTCGAAAATCGACAACTATGAAACTATGAGCCCTTCCCGGACACAAACGGTACATTGTGAGATAGGAAATTGTAGAGAGAAACAAGCCCTATAACATAGGAAAACCACATTTTAATAAACACAGTTTTTTTTACTATATTGTAATTAGTAATTTTAGACATTGATTAAAACTATAAATATTCTTGTGGAATCTTCGAGGAATAGTCAATTTAATTTAACAATCGGTAACTGTTTTCATATCAGTTTTTCCATGTTTACTTATTTTTCTGAAGCCAAAACAATGTTTAACCTTGACTGCCTCGTATATATATATATATAAGCCCCTGTTATAAAAATTAGTTCCCACTTTCCTGAAATTGATCGAGACGCGCCGTGATTGGTTGTTTATTTTTTATTGTTAATATGGGTTAACAATAAAAAACTAACAACCAATCACTACTCATAACGAGAAACCCCTTAAACACACAAAAATGGGACACCCAGTACATAGTTCTTCCATTCATCTTAGTTTGTTCCTTCCATGCACGTTCAAACGTGAGAATATCTGACAAAGGAAAACCGGAATTACAAATCTAAAGTAAGCGTTAAAAAAAGTGAGAAAATGTGGTCGTTTTTCCCGCATACGAGAGAAACCTTTGTGAGGCTTTCTGCGCGAAAATATTCAGGCTGGATCTTTGCCGAAAACACCAGGAACGATAAAATTCAATATTCAGCGTTGTTCGGGGACAAATAGGATTTCTAGTACGTCCTAGGAAAAGGAAATTAGGTAGTTTTTGTTGGGAAATGGTCTTTATGTAGCAAGGTGAAAGGCAAATAAAGAAATACAGAATATCTTATTTTGGTTTTAGTAGTTCTAAGAGTTTTAACAAAAGAATTTAAGGCTGTACACAAAAAACAATAATTCATTTAGCAGGAACTTCTAAAGAATGTTTCTATTAAATTAATTAGTGTTTTTTTATACAGCGTTAAATTAAATGCAATAAAATAAAGATAATATAAAATAAATAATATAAATATAATATAAACAATCAAATCGTTTCCCCGGAAGATGGATTGGAAATGGTAGAGCATTACGGTTATCGAAATACCCGAATTTGTAGCACCCTGTATAACATTAATTAAAGAACTGGGTTAAAACAATAATCTAATCTAGATTTTAATTATAAACCTGTCATAATTCGCCACATAAATTAGATACTCCCCAAAACTTTCTGAATACGATTTAGTCCCCCGTATCCCACCTGATTTGAACCTCCCTGCCTCCTTTATTCTTCGATTTAAAGGGATCTTCATCGCCGACCTTGCACGGTACTAATCCCTTGAGCTATAGTAAATTTAGAGCCAGTCTTTCATTTTAATTAAAACTATCTCTAGCCGATTTAAAGTTAGTAAAATAGACCAATCGGGAGTTATGAGTGTGGAAATGCTCGGACTTTGTTTGACTAGACCTCTGCCAATTCCTGTTTTGCATTTCAAATTGTCTGGATTTATCTTTTGAGACTGCATTTATTGTTAGGATACGAGTAAACAATGGTGTGTATATCATGATTTTTTTAAACCAAAATCTTTAGTAGTAGAATACAAATTAACATTGCTTTATTTCGTCAATACCGGGAGCGTCTCAAAAGTGGTTCACCCCCAAGGACTGTATATATTCTAAAGGACTGTTCGATCGCGTCAAATAGCCGCTGTCGTAGTCGCCGTGGGATGCTACGTCACGCGCTGACCAGCGCTCCACAGTGCGGCGGATGGTTATTCTAGCGGGACAAAATCTCAAGAGCAATGTTTGGGACTTAAAATCTAAGAACGTAGCAAATGGTCTAATATATAGCAACTAAATATAATACTCTTCTTTGCAACTTAAATATTCTGCTCATATGCACAGAGTGACCCTAACTTGTTATTGCATACGTAGTATGAGATACAACAAGAGAGTAATAAGCTGCCATGAGCACTCTTTTATCCGATATTTTTTTTCAGACTTCTTGTGATAAATATATTTTTCGCAATCTTTTCAGAAATATTGTCCACATGATTACTCCACGTCAAGTAATTGTTTCATAAAAAAATAATCAGGAAATCACTGTACAGGTTGGTCGAAATTGGTCTGTTTTAATAGAGAAAACCTATTTCCTGACTAGATAGAGCAAAACCGAAATAGATGTCATGGGCTCGATTTCTGAGACACGTTTAATGGCATAAACCGCCTGTTGATATTTTCACTGCCAACTGAGATACGGGGTCTTTTTGCATTTTTTACCATTTTGAAAATTGCCCATAACTTTTTTATTTCGCGGAATAATAAAATTCTGTAAAAACGTTCTTAAGACGCTTTTTTAAATCCTTCATTTAATAGGTCAGTTGTAACCCTGGCGTTTTAATTGTGTAATACTATTAACTAATGGTAATACTATTATAGAATATTGATTTGCCTTTTCAAAAGTCTTCAATTATGCAGATAAATAATAATATAGAATATTAAATTGTGATAAAAAATAATTAGGCAACTATGTCAACACAAAATCAAGGCCCGCTTCGATATGAAGATAAAAACCTAATATTTTTCTCATTCTTAGAAATAAATACACATAACCTTATATCGTTGGAAAGGGTTAAACGCCAGCATTTTTTTAACTGCATAGCCAACTATGATTTCTATTTAAAAAATTATATTTTTTATTATTTCTGACAAAAAGAGCAAGTATTGAAAAAAACTGACTACGCCACTGGATTGTGCTTAAAAAAGTGTCTTAAGAACGTTTTTACAGAATTTTATTATTCCGCGAAATACAAAAGTTATGGACAATTTTCCAAATGGTAAAAAATTCAAAAAGACCCCGTATCTCATTTAACAGTGAAAATCTCAACAGGCAGTTTACACCATTAAACGTGTCTCAGAAACCGAGCCCATGACATCTATGTCGGTTTTACTCTATCTAGTCAGGAAATAGCTTTTTTCTGTTAAAACAGACCAATTTCGACCACCCTGTACATAAGCAATTTGATGTTAAAAAGAACTTGTTTTCTGATCAAAATCTGATCATTAAATATTCACACTATTTTATCCAATAGCGTTTTTAGAAAGAGATGAGAATCAGATGCAGCCACATTATGACAAAAAATATTAAACAAGGTGTAACCTATAGTGTATATATATTGGTCTAACTGATATAACTGGTACTTCTGGAGGATTGATTTTTTTAAAAATAAATGTTTACAGTTTATACCAAATAAACTTTCAGTCACGTGATTAAGCTTGACCGGCGGCACAGCCGTTGCCCACTTTTATACATTTTCTTTTAATCAAAATACACACACCGGAAAAATCTAGGGTTATCGTTTTATTAAAGTTAAAAATAAATGTTTTGAATAAACAACCACATATTTGTAGGCCGATTCTTTCTACTTCGATTGAAACGAAGTAGTCACACTAGTTATTTCTAAATTTGGGATATTTGCAGAAGTGTTTGTGCATTTTTTGTCAAATG